TGGTCCCAGGCCTCCTATCGTAGACGGATTAACACATCGCTGGTTGTTGGGTCTCACTGTACTCTCTCTGGTCTCCTGTACTGTACTCTCTGGTCTCCTGTGTACTGTACTCTCTGGTCTCATGTACTGCACCCTGGTCTCCGGTGTGACTGTACCTCTGGTCTCCGGTGTACTGTACCTTGGTCTCCTCCTGTGTACTTGTACTCCTGGTCCCGGTGCACTGTACTCTCTGGTCTCCGTATACTTGTACCTCTGGTCTCCTGTATTGTACTCTCTGGTCTCCTGTGCACTGTACCTCTGGTTCCCGGTGTACTGTACTCTCTGGTCCTGTGTACTGCACCTCTGGTCTCCTGTGTACTGTACTCTCTGGTCTCCTGTACTGTACTCTGGTCTCCGGTGTACTGTACTCTGGTCTCCTGTACTGCACTCTGGTCTCCGGTGTACTGTACCTCTGGTCTCCGGTGTACTGTACCTCTGGTCTCTCCTGGTACTGTATCTCTCTGGTCTCTGGTGTACTGTACTCCTGGTCTCCTGTGTACTGTACTCTCTGGTCTCCTGTGCACTGTACCTCTGGTCTCCTGTGTACTGTACCTCCTGGTCTCCTGTGTACTGTACCTCTGGTCTCCTGTGTACTGTACCTGGTCTCCGGTGTACTGTACTCTCTGGTCTCCTGCACTGTACCTCTGGTCCTTCCGGTACTGTACTCCTGGTCTCCTGTGTACTGCACTCTGGTCTCCGGTGTACTGCATCTCTGGTCTCCTGACTGTACCTCTGGTCTCCGGTGTACTGTACTTCTGGTCTCCTGTGTACTGTACTCTCTGGTCTCCGGTGTACTGGTACCTCTGGTCCCCTGTGTACTGTACTTCTCTGGTCTCCTGTGTACTGTACTCTTGGTCTCTCCTGTGTACTGTACTCTCTGGTTCCGGTACTGTACTCTTGGTCTCCTGTGTACTGTACTTCTGGTCTCCTGTGTACTGTACTCTTGGTCTCCTGTGTACTGTACTCTCTGGTCTCCGGTGTACTGTACCTCTGGTCTCCTGTACTGTACCTCTGGTCTCTGTACTGTACTCTCTGGTCTCCTGTACTGTACCTCTGGTCTCCTGTAATTGTACTCTGGTCTCCTGTACTGTACTTTGGTCTCCTGTGCACTGTACTCTGGTCTCCTGTGCACTGTACTCTGGTCTCCTGGTGTACTGTACTCTGGTCTCCTGCACTGTACTCTCTGGTCTCCGGTGTACTGTGCCCCTGGTCCCAGGTGCACTGCACCTCTGGTCTCCTGGGTACTGCACTCTGGTCCTGGTGTACTGTACTCTCTGGTCTCTGTGTAATTGTACTCTCTGGTCTCTGTGCATTGCACTCTGGTCTCATGTACTGTACCTGGTCTCCGGTGTATTGTACCTCTGTCTCCTGTACTGCACTCTGGTCCTCGGTGTACTGTACTCTCTGGTCTCCCTGTACTGTACTCTGGTCTCCCGGTGTACTGTACTCTCTGGTCTCCTGTGTACTGTACTCTCTGGTCTCCTGTGTACTGCTCTTTGGGTCTCTCCTGTGTACTGTACTCTTGGTCTCCTGTGTACTGTGCTCTTGGCTCCTGTGTACTGCTCTCCTGGTCTCCTGTACTGTACTCTCTGGTCTCAGTGTACTGTACTCCTGGTCTCCTGTGACTGCCTCTTGGTCTCTCTGTGTGCTGCTCTTGGTCTCCTGTGCTGTACTCTTGGTCTCTCCTGTGCTGTACTCTCTGGTCTCCTGTGACTGCTCTCTGGTCTCCGGTGTACTTGCTCTCTGGTCTCCTGTACTGTACTCTTGGTCTCTCCTGTACTGTACTCTCTGGTCTCCTGTACTGTCTCTGGTCTCCTGTGTACTGTACTCTCTCTGTCTCTGTCTGTACTCTCTCCGGTGGCACTGTACTCTCTGGTCTCCTGTTCCTGCTCTCCTTTCTCCTGTGTGTACTGTACTCTCTGGTCTCCGGTATACTGTACTCTCTGGTCTCCTATGTACTGTACTCTCTGGTCTCCGGTGTGCCTGCTCTCTGGTCTCCTGTGTGCACTGTACTCTCTGGTCTCCTGTGTACTGTACTCTCTGGTCTCAGGTGTACTGTACTCTGGTCTCCTGTGTACTGTACTCTCTGGTCTCCAGTGTACTGTACTCTCTGGTCTCCGATGTACTGTACTCTCTGGTCTCCCGTGTACTGCTCTCTGGTCTCCGGTGTACTGCTCTCTGGTCTCTGGTGTACTGTACTCTCTGGTCTCCGGTGTACTGTACTCTCTGGTCTCAGTGTACTGTAAAGGTGACTGGTAGGAAGTAGTCTTGTCCTATGAGGCCCTTTTACCCTAACTTCACGTAACCCTAACCTAACCTAACCTAACCTAACCTAACCTGGCCTAACTTACCGGTAACCTGAACTGACCTAATATAAAGTAATCTGACTCGTCCTAACCTAAGCATAACTAAATTGATCTAAGCTGACCTGACCTCTGACCTAATCTAACCTAACTTGACCAAAATTGAAGTTGGCCTAAGGTTATTATTCCTGATCAATAGGGTTAGAGTCCAGTCTTAATGGTTAGGTTAGGGCCTGTTAAATCTAGAGGGACATATATCTCACCTCCCATCCCTCTCCTCATTGGGTTAGGTTGTAGTTTAGGTTAGGTTGGGTTAGGTTAGGTTAGGTTAGGTTAGGGCCTGTTAAATCTAGAGGGACATATATCTCACCCCTCCCCATCCCTCTCCTCATTGGGTTAGGTTAGGTTAGGTTAGGTTAGGTTAGGTTAGGTTAGGTTAGGTTAGGTTAGGGCCTGTTAAATCTAGAGGGACATATATCTCACCCCTCCCCATTGGGTCTGTTTGTAAACAATGTAAGATGTGAGAAGTGTTTGTACACGCCAACAGGATCTTATTAATTCACAGTTTCTAAAGTTGTTTTTGTTTGTCTTTGTTTTATTTTTGCCATAGACTAAACAAACACACAATAGGTGTTTGTATTCATACCAGTTTTGTTTACTTGTATCGTTATCTTATTTTGTCACAAACTTTATAAAGAAAAAACATCAGATTGGCTTCCAGTCCGTCTACTGTTACTCCCTCTTCCTCCTCTTGAACATTTACTATAAACTTGTTACTCCCTCTTCCTCCTCTTGAACATTTACTATAAACTTGTTACTCCCTCTTCCTCCTCTTAAACATTTACTATAAACTTGTTCTCCTCTTCCTCCTCTTGAACATTTACTATAAACTTGTTCTCCTCTTCCTCCTCTTAAACATTTACTATAAACTTGTTACTCCCTCTTCCTCCTCTTGAACATTTACTATGAACTTCCACTTCTTGCTATCATTTATTGGGCCACAATATATAAATGCCTTTCTTGACCTGACTGATGGATGTTTAGCACGCGAGGGAGTGTTATCCTGAGTACTGTCTATGTCAGCTACTGGTCCGTTGTATCACTGTTTGTCCCCGGTGTGGCTGTTTGGCTGCGTTATTATATACCAAGACGAATTTGTATTAATTTGGTGGTTTTGGTCTAGCCTGTCCTGTAGGTTAGGTGAGGTTAGGTTAGGTTTAGATGGGTTGGTTAGGTTAGGTTTAGATGGGCTTGGTTAGGTTAGGTCTAGATGGGTTGGTTAGGTTAGGTCTAGATGATGGTTAGGTTAGGTTTAGAACGGCTGGTTAGGTTAGGTCTAGATGGGTTGGTTGGGTTAGGTCTAGATGGGCTGGTTAGGTTAGGTCTAGATGGGCTGGTTAGGTTGGGTCTAGATGGGCTGGTTGGGTTAGGTCTAGATGGGTTGGTTAGGTTAGGTCTAGATGGGCTGGTTAGGTTAGGTCTAGATGGGCTGGTAGGTTAGGTCTAGATGGGCTGGTTAGGTTAGGTCTGATGGGCTTGGTTAGGTTAGTCTAGATGGGCTGGTTGGGTTAGGTTTAGAACGGCTGGTTAGGTTAGGTCTAGATGGGTTGGTTAGGTTAGGTCTAGATGGGCTGGTTAGGTTAGGTCTAGATGGGCTGGTTAGGTTAGGTCTAGATGGGCTAGTTGGGTTGGGTTTAGAACGGCGTTGGGTTGGGTTTAGAACGGCTGGTTAGGTTAGGTCTAGATGGGCTGGGTTAGGTTAGGTCTAGATGGGCTTGGTTGGGTTAGGTCTAGATGGGTTGGTTAGGTTAGGTCTAGATGGGCTGGGTTGGGTTAGGTCTAGATGGGCTGGGTTAGGTTAGGTCTAGATGGGTTGGTTAGGTTAGGTCTAGATGGGTTGGTTAGGTTAGGTCTAGATGGGTTGGTTGGGTTAGGTCTAGATGGGTTGGTTTAGGTTAGGTCTAGATGGGCTGGTTAGGTTAGGTCTAGATGGGCTGGTTAGGTTAGGTCTAGATGGGCTGGGTTAGGTTGGTCTTGATGGGCTGGTTAGGTTAGGTTTAGACAGCTGGTTAGGTTAGGTCTAGATGGGCTGGGTTAGGTTAGGTTTAGATGGGCTGGGTTAGGTTAGGTTCTAGATGGGCTGGGTTAGGTTAGGTCTAGATGGGCTGGGTTAGGTTAGGTCTAGATGGGCTGGGTTACTTTAGGATAGGTTGGTTTAAGGCTAGGTTAGGATGGGTGGGTTAAGAGTGTAGACCCGGGATAGTATTGGTCTTTAACCCCTGGTATAAACTGATCAAGAACAGAGTGTACTGTACTGTATACAACTAAACCTGTTCAATTCTATTTTGTCAACTAAATTTTGAATATTACTCTTTTCTTCGTTTTATATATATATATATATATATATATATATATATATATATATATATATATATATATATATATATATATATATATATATATATATATATATATATATATCGACCAACAATAAGTATATTAGTTCATTAGTAAATGGTCAACCTTCTTCCACCATATTATTCTCCTTGTTATCAATTATTGTTATGTCATTATTTTCTCTGCTTGTTATCATAATATATGTTGATAACTCTCTACTAGCAACCCTCGTAATAACACCATCTACTCTGTCTCCCTCAGCACCTGAACAACCTGCTGGAGAACTACCTGGAGCCGCTAAAGAGTGCGTCCTTCCTGAGCTCGGCGGAGGTGAACGCGCTCTTCGGCAACATCCGGGAGATCGTGGCCTTCCAGAGGCTGTTCCTCCAGGCGCTACAGGAAGCCCTCGACATGGAGCCTGGCTTCCCTGCCTTCGATCAGCCCTATGAGTTTAAGGTCAGTGCTTCCTTTTAGTATGCTTCAGTGCTTCAAGTACTTGTGTTCCTTGGCTTTGGTCAGATTCACAAAGGAGTTGTTCCCTAGACGGTTGGAGTAGGAACTGTGTCCCTTGACGGTTGGAGTAGGAGCAGTGCCCCTTGAAGGTTGAAGTGGGAGCAGTGCCCCTTGAAGGTTGAAGTGGGAGCAGTGCCCCTTGAAGGTGAAGTAGGTGTTTCCTGAAGGTTGGAGTAGGGCAGTGCCTTGAAGGGTTGAAGTGGGAGCAGTGCCTTGAAGGTTGAAGTGGGGCAGTTGCCTTGAAGGTTGAGTAAGTGTTTCCCTTGAAGGTTGGAGTAGGAGCAGTGCCTTGAAGGTTGAAGTGGGAGCAGTGCCCTTGAAGGTTGAAGTGGGAGCATTGCCCTTGAAGGTTAGTGGGGCAGTGCTTGTGAGGTTGGAGTAGGGCAGTGCCCTTGAAGGTTGAAGTGGGAGCAGTGCCTTGAAGGTTGAAGTGGGACAGTGCCTTGAAGGTTGGGTAGAGACAGTGCCCTTGAAGGTTGAAGTGGGAGCAGTGCCCTTGAAGGTTGAAGTGGGAGCAGTGCTCCTTGAAGGTTGAAGTAGGAGCAGTGCCCTTGAAGGTTGAAGTAGGTGTTTCCCTTGAAGGTTGGAGTAGGAGCAGTGCCCCTTGAAGGTTGGAGTAGGAGCAGTGCCCTTGAAGGTTGAAGTAGGAGCAGTGCCCTTGAAGGTTGGAAGTGGGGCAGTGCCCTTGAAGGTTGAAGTGGGAGCAGTGCCCTTGAAGGTTGGAGAAGGCAGTGCCTTGAGGTGAAGTGGAAGTGCTCGAAGGTAAGGGAGCAGTGCCTTGAAGGTTGGAGGAGCAGTGCTTGAGGTTGAAGTGGAGCAGTGCACTGAAGGTTGAAGTGGGAGGTGTGCTCTGAAGGTTGAAGTAGGTGTTTCCTTGAAGGTTGGAGTAGGAGCAGTGCCCTTGAAGGTTGAAGTGGAGCAGTGCCCTTGAAGGTTGAAGTAGGAGCAGTGCCCTTTGAAGGTTGAAGTAGGAGCAGTGCCCTTGAAGGTTGGATAGGGAGCAGTGCCTTGAAGGTTGGAGTAGGAGCAGTGCCTGAAGGTTGAAGTGGGAGCAGTGCCTTGAAGGTTGAAGTGGGAGGTGTGCTCCTTGAGGTTAGTAGGTGTTTCCTTGAAGGTTGGAGTAGGGCAGTGCCTTGAAGGTTGAGTAGGGCAGTGCCCCTGAGGTTGAAGTGGAGCAGTGCCCTTGAAGGTTGAAGTAGGAGCAGTGCCTTGAAGGTTGAAGTAGGAGCAGTGCCCTTGAAGGTTGAAGTGGGAGCAGTGCCCTTGAAGGTTGAAGTAGGAGCAGTGCCTTGAAGGTTGAGTAGGAGCAGTGCCCTTGAAGGTTGAAGTGAAGGTGTCCTTGAAGGTTGAAGTGGGAGCAGTGCCCTTGAAGGTTGAAGTGGGAGCAGTGCCCTTGAAGGTTAGGGGGAGGTGCCTTGAAGGTTGAAGTGGGAGCAGTGCCCCTTGAAGGTTGAAGTAAGGTGTTCAAGTTTGAGTCAGTAATGTGTACATAATTTGTTGTTTCCTCCAGTATGGCTCGTATTTCACCACAGATTTTCATGCATGTAGCTTTAGTGCAGATTTTCACTTTTTTTTTTTTTAATTTTAATGTATACTGTATTGCTCCAAGTGTTGGCGTATTTTTGTTCCAGATTCTCACTTATTTTTGTTCCAGATTTTCACGTATTTTTGTTCCAGATTTTCCACGTATTTTTGTTCCAGATTTTCACGTGTTTTTGTTCCAGATTTTCACGTATTTTTGTTCCAGATTTTCACGTGCTTTTGTTCCAGATTTTCACGTGTTGTTTGATAATGTGTCGTCTCTTCCCCCAGAATGTGTTGTTCTCTATCGGCAGCGCCTTCCTCTACTACGCCAGTCAGTTTAAACTCTACAGCTCCTTCTGCGCCTCTCATTCTAAAGCTCAAAAAGTCTTACATCCCAGTGAGTACCTCCAGTTATTTTTGTTGTGATCTATAATCCTCACCAGTATATATATGTATAGCCTCGAGTCTTCAAGAGTCTTCATATGCATACCATCGAGTCTTCAAGTCTTCATATGCATACCATCGAGTCTTCAAGAGTCTTCATATGTATAACCTCGAGTCTTCATATGCATACCATCGAGTCTTTAAGAGTCATCCTATGTATAGCCTCGAGTCTTCAAGGGTCCTCATATGTATAGCCTCGAGTCTTCAAGGGTCTTCCTATGTATAGCCTCGAGTCTTTAAGAGTCTTCCTATGTATAGCCTCGAGTCTTCAAGAGTCTTCATATGTATACCCTCGAGTCTTCAAGAGTCCTCATATGTATAGCCTTGAATCGGCATATTTACAGCCAGAATATTACGTCTAGTATTCTTAATTATTTGTGTGTATAACTTGAGTATTTCGTATAATTCAACTTACTGAATTGTTATCCGTTTCACACATCTTCATAATACAACCACAATGTTTCGTCTCTTATATGAATACCTTTTCGATGCTACATTTACCTTTTTCTAACATATATTTCGTTTATCTTCGTTTCTTGAGTCATAACATTTCGTCTCGTAGTGAATAACTTTTTTAAAAGCTGAGGTCAACTCATTACATCTCTCGTGGCCAATGATAGACTAAATCATGTTGCGTCACTTGGGGTGTTGTGGTCTCTCTCTGAATCTTATAGAATAACTCGGTGCCGTAGGAACGCCTGCCAGGAGCCCAGAATTGCGTCATAGTGCCTGAGGGAGCCATTGATCATTGGCAGTAAGTCAAGGTTGTGGTCTTGACTGTGTGTCGAGAGGAACGGAAGAGTGTAGTTGATTACGTTTTCATGGGGGGGGGGTAGGTTATGTCATGGGGTAGGTTAGATTAGGTCATGGGGTAACTTAGGTCACGAGGTAGGTTAGGTCATGGGGTAGGTTAGAGCAGGCTGCTAGACCGGGGCCCGTGTGACTTGCAACACCGGACATAAACACTCGGCAGTGAAGGAGCAGAAAGACGGAGAAAGTGGGTGTGTGCTTAAGTGAGGGACTTGTAGAAATTCCTCTTAGGTCTAGTGTGTGTGTGTGTGTGTGTGTGTGTGTGTGTGTGTGTGTGTGTGTGTGTGTGTGTGTGTGTGTGTGTGCGTGCGGGAAAATCCTTGAGTTGTGAGGCTAGCGGCGTGTAATGACAAACTGGTGAAGTTTGGTTGTCGCGAGCCGTTCTCTACCTCCACCCTCACACACGTAATGAGTCACAACTTTTAAAGTAATGAACCCAGATTTTAATAATGAAACCGGATTTTTATAATGAATCCGTTTTCTTATAATTTTATTTTTTCACATTAGCTCAGATTTGTTCAATTCATAAATAAAAAATCATGAAAAATTAAGTAGTTTGGGGATGTTTTTGACTTACCTGAATCTTTTATGTAGATATTGTTTCATATATCAGAGAAAATTAGGCTTTTATTTTGATCTTTAAATTTGACTCCTTGTGTGTGTGTGTGTTTTGAGAGCAACTCAGCGGTGAAGTAATGGAGATTCCTTTCCTTGTGGCAGTCTTGAAGGTCACACTTGAAGGAGGTGTTGACATTTCTCGAGATGTTCAGCAGTGGAGGGTGTTGCTGGAGGAGTGGGAGATGCTGGTGGTTGGGGATGAGGGGGGGTAGGGGATGGGTGGGAGAGGAGTTGGGGATGGGATGGGGATGGGTCAGGGGTGATCAGGTATTTGGTTGTCATGTAATTGTGTTAAGAGTTAATGTGTTGCATCATCCACTGGGGCCTTACATGTAACTGTTACCACACACACACACACACACACACACACACACACACACACACACACACACACACACGGGTAGTCTGGCACAACACCTAACAACAGATCCAGTGCTTTATATCTACCTATACTGTCTGGTCGTCCACACCTTCATCACCTGGGGGTTACTTCACACACCTGCTTCTTGCTTATCTAGATCATCTCCTGCTCGAGTAATTTTTGCGCGTGTGTGTGGGGGGGGGTGACAATGAGGTAACGCAGGTAAGAAGAGGTGTGTTTTGTGCGTCTTTCCCCGCCGGGCTCTTGAGTGAGTGACGCAAGGTGGTGGCCGCCCTCACACAAGAATCCCAAACCTTCATCATATATTGCTAACTTGGCGTAGGGTAGCTGAACAACTTTAGTTACGGTAAAGGTTTATGGATAATTCTGAAGCCATTTTAGTTGTTATTTTCGTGTTATTGATTAAAAGTGAGGCAGTTAGATGCGTTTTTTTAAATAGATAGTTGTGGTGCTGGGAGGACGAAAGAGCGTAGACTGTTGGGTGTATTGTTTCACCACCAGGGAGGGGGGTGAGAGGGTTTATTGCCTGGAGGAGCCCTATTAATGGTCGTCTCTATAGTGCTGTTAGTGTGTGTGTGTGTGGTGTACTGTACCTGCCTCTTCCCTGGTGATAGAGAGAGAGAGAGTTTCCCCACCCCCTTCCTCACCCCATCCCCCCTTCCTCACCTCATCCCCCTGGCAGAGTGTGTGTGTGTACACAGACATTGAATCCCGACACTCTACCAGGGTTTGTAGATTGGGGTTCGATGTGTCAGGATTCAAAGTTCAAGGGTTCTTAAGTTCTACGAGATGTGTTTCTTTGGTTAGGTTAAGTTAGGTTGGGTTAAGTTAGATTGGGTTGGGGTTAGGTTTTTGAGAGGGTCACACTAGGTTTTCTCCTGAATGGTTATATGAAAACCAAAATGGCGTCCATATTGCACTGAGCCTCTAGATTCGTCACGTCAACAAAAAATTGGTGAAGGTAAAGAGGTGGAGACTAACGTACAGTACAGCTCATTTAAGAACACTGAGTCTGGAGTCTTAACAGGTTCTTGTCTGGAGTCTTAACAGGTTCTTGTCTGGAGTCTTAACAGGTTCTTGTGGTCTTGGAGTCTTAACAGGTTCTTGTCTGGAGTCTTAACAGGTTCTTGTCTGGAGTCTTAACGGTTTGTCTGGAGTCTTAACAGGTTCTGCTGGAGTCTTAACAGGTTCTTCAAGTTGAGTTTGTTCTCCATAACTGGTGATTTGAGAACGTAACTCAGTAAAGTGAAGGTCTTGTAGAATTCTGACGCCAAGTTTTGGAAGTGAATATTTTCTTTACATGTTTTGGCTTAATTCAGTCATGTATTGACGTGCTGTGTGGGCAGACCACCAGGGTGAGATGGGGGAGAGGGAGATGAGGAGGACACACAGGAGAGAGAGACACACAAGAGAGAGAGAGACACACAGGGAGAGAGATACACACAGGGGAGAGAGATACACACAGGGGAGAGATACACACAGGGGAGAGAGACACACAGGAGAGAGAGACACACAAGGGAAGAGAGACACACAAGGAGAGAGATACACACAAGGGAGAGAGAGACACACAAGGGAGAGAGATACACACAGGGGAGAGACGGGGAGAGAGAGAGACACACAGGGAGAGAGATGCACAGGGAGAGAATACACAAGGGGAGAGAGAGAGACACAGAGGGAGAGAGATACACACAGGGGAGAGAGATCACACAAGGGAGAGAGATACACACAGGGGAGAGAGATACACACAGGGAGAGAGAGACCGGGGAGAGGAGAGACACACAAGGGAGAGAGAGACACACAAGGAGAGAGATACACACAGGAGAGAGAGACACAGGAGAGAGAGACACACAGGGGAGAGAGAGACACACAGGGGAGAGAGAGAGACACACAGGAGAGGAGATGCACAAGGGAGAGAGAGCACACAAGGGAGAGAGAGACACACACAAGGGAGAGAGATGCACACAGGGGGAGAGAGACACACAGGGAGAGAGAGATCACACAGGGAGAGAGATACACACAGGGGGAGAGAGAGACACACAGGGGAGAGAGACACACGAGGGAGAGAGAGACACACAAGGGAGAGAGAGAGCACACAGGGGGAGAGAGAGACCAGGGAGAGAGGAGACACTGAGGGAGAGAGATGCACACAGGGGAGAGAGAGGAGACACACAAGGGAGAGAGGCACACAGGGGAGAGAGAGAGACACCTGGGGAGAGAGAGACACACAGGGGAGAGAGAGACACACAGGGAGAGAGATACACAAGGGAGAGAGATACACACAAGGGAGAGAGAGACACACAGGGAGAGATACAAGGGAGAGAGAGACACACAGGGAGAGAGAGACACAGGGGAGAGAGATACACACAGGGGAGAGAGATGCACACACAGGGGGAGGGGGGAGAGAGACACACAGGGGGAGAGAGACACAGGGGAGAGAGACACCTGGGGAGAGAGACACACAGGGGAGAGAGAGAGACACACAGGGAGAGAGAGACACACAGGGGAGAGAGAGACACACAAGGAGAGAGAGATGGACACACAGGGGAGAGAGAGCACACAGGGGAGAGAGACACACAAGGAGAGAGACCGGGGAGAGAGAGACACGGGGAGAGAGACACAGGGAGAGAGAGAGACACACAAGGGAGAGACACAGGGAGAGAGAGACACACAAGGGGGAGAGAGAGAGACACAGGGAGAGAGAGAACACAAGGGAGAGAGACACACAAGGGAGAGAGAGACACACAGGGGAGAGAGAGACACAGGGAGAGAGAGACACAGGGGAGAGAGACACAAGGGAGAGAGAGACACACAAGGAGAGAGAGACACAAGGGAGAGAGAGACACAAGGGAGAGACACAAGGGAGAGACACACAAGGGAGAGAGATCACACAGGGAGAGAGATACACACAAGGGGGAGAGAGAGAGAGAGACCTGGGGAGAGAGACACACAAGGGGAGAGAGAGACCTGGGGAGAGAGAGACACCTGGGGAGAGAGAGACACCTGGGGAGAGAGATCACACAGGGGGAGAGACACCGGGGAGAGAGAACAAGGGAGAGAGATACACACAGGGGAGAGAGAGACACACAGGAGAGAGATACACACAGGAGAGAAGACACACAGGAGAGAGAGAGACACACAGGGGA